AGAACCTAAACTTTGTGGAAGAACCGGTCGAAATCATGGATAGAGAGATCAAACGAACGAAACAAAGTCGCATCCCGATAGTGAAGGTTCGCTGGAATGCCAAGCGGGGACCTGAATTCACCTGGGAGCACGAAGATCAGATGAAACAGAAGTATCCACATCTCTTTTCTAATCCATGATTTGTATTCTATGTTCGAATTTCGGGACGAAATTCCCTCTAACGGGGGGATGATGTGACAACCCGAAACTTTTCCCGTTATCCTTACCCAGTTTCCGTTAATAAAATTTGGGTTTTTATTAAATTCCGTCAAATTTCTTAGTTTGAGAAAGACTTTACGTTTTAAATAAATGATATGTATTTTATACGAGTCGGAATAAACCGGAATCGCGAAAAACTCGAACCTTCACTCAAAAATCACCGAGTTCACGGCCAGAATGAGTTAACGGTCGAGTGCGACCGTAAACCCGTTTACGGTCGGTGTCAGGTGGACCCCACCACTGACCAAACCCCAGTCTATAAATACTGAACCCCCACCCTCATTTGAACCTTCTTGACCGGAAACACCCACTTTCTCTCTCCAAACCTCTTGACCATAAACACCATAAAGCCCTCCTTTCACCCGAAAAACGCCGGAAATCATCATTTGGGGCCGTTTGGGAGCCTCTGGAACACTTTTTCGTCAAAAACAAGCACCCTTGTTCTTGAGTTTACGGTCAATCTTCATAGACCGTAAACCTGTTGCGACCGTAAACTCATCAATCTTCATAGACCGTAAACTCATCAATCTTCATAGACCGTAAACTCACCAGATCTCCTTAGACCGTAAACACATGGGACCGTGAACCCATGGAACCGTAAACTGTCTGTCGACCCTAAACAACTCTTTCGTGGGGAAAAGCCTGTTTTCTCAATTCAACCAAGTCCCGGTAACATTCCTTAACCAAAAACAAGTGTTTATCTAACACTTTATCTAACGAAATCGCTAATTTAGATACATATATGTATTTATTTGATATTAGGATTCCGTTAAGTGCAACGTACACCAACTCAAGGATCGTCCAGTTCAATCCTTTGCATCCAACCAACTGTGAGTTCATACCCCTACGCTTTTTCCGAGTTTTTCATGTTTTCAGGGGGGAATACAAGCAAAAGTACAAGGAAACTTGTGCTCAAAGTATATTATTTTGTATAAGATAATTATATTTTCAGCATGCTTTTAAACACAGAAAACAGTTTTACCAAACGATTAAGAAATCAACTCGTAGAAACAGTTTTCAAACTAAAGTAATGAACTCGTGAAACATTTCGTAAAATGTATATCATACAGATTATAAACAGGATTTTTAGTATTATTACTTGTAAATTGTTAGTCTAAAGTTGGGGACACGTCCTTGGTAACACTCCCACCGAATTCGAGAGCATAGGACTAGCACTTGTAACCAGAATCTCTTGTAGGGAGAGCGTGACTGTTGTGTATAGATCTATACATGACTGACTATCCCGCACCTAAACTGCTAGCTACAGTTAGGCATACATGCCTGTGGTGACAAAGTCATAAAAGGATACTGGCCCCCGTTACGTGCCATATCAAGTTTAAGTACGGTTATGACTCCCACAACCCAGATAACAGGAATTTACTTTTGTAATAATGAATCAAGTGAACTAACCTCAAAGTAATAACCGATTCGATTACTAGAGGGTATTAATAACACCCTTAGGATTTAGTTCACCACTTATTCATTAGTTTTATTTATGTAATAAGGCTAATACACCTCACAGGGAGCTAACAGGGTTTTTTCAAGAAAACTACGCCTAACGATATAAGTATGGTAGATACTTGTACGCCTCAGACTAGAAACAGATAACCAACCATCAACTTTTGGGGAAAATGTAGGATTTTCCTGGGATAACTCAACCTTTCATAAACGGACTGTTTAACAAATAACAAATGGATAATCAAACATCTTTCATAAGAAAATATAGGATTTTCTTGGGAAACACTTTTCAAAGGATCAAAGAAACATTTTTCACCAGAACTAAATACTTATGAACTCACCAGCTTTATGCTGATACTCTTTCAAACTGCTTGTATTCTCAGGGCAGCAATAGACAGGTACTTTTATCAACTTTTGGAGAAGACGGAGCATTTGGAGTCACGTCTTTTACTTTTGTTATATACTCTTATGTACAAACTATGTTTTCAAACAGATGTAAATAATCATATTGTAATGTAATGGTTGTGTTTACTTTGCTTACTATGATACAATTGTTATGATACTATGCATGACGTCACCCGCCTCCGAACGTTTCCGCCGTTATTTCTGACGGTTCGGGGGTGTGACATATTTAAACACCATTATGGCCCCAAGACCTTTCCCTTTATCAGCCTACATCCCAAGATCGACCCTCCTTGCAAACCCTAGTCCATTTTAAGCTTTTGAGTGAGTTGTGTGCTTCTTTGTGTGTAAGATGAAAAGTAACTATACACTCACTTGTTAAAGTGGTGATTCCAAACTCATGCAGCGCTTCGCTTCTAATAATTATTTTCCTTCGACGAAACCTTGTATCATTCCCACTAGATTTTAGTTTAATATTTATCGTGACTAATTATTAGTCTTAGTATTATTATTTTTATATAAGCATTTAAACAATACTTTTCAACCAATATGTACAGACAAGGCCAGATATGAAACACTGGAGGGCAGGACCATTTTGACATTATAGCACTTCTGAAATCCAACAACCCAGGCGGCCCTTCAAATCGGATCCTCGTACCGCGAGTAGTTAAAAATGCATTATAACGACACTTATATAAGTCATAATACTAGCTCATATATATTGTTTATAAGTTCATAATAACGATACTAAATTTAAACATAAGTTATACTTAGAGTAGGGTAAGCATATCTCACTTACCGGGGGGGTTGGTTAGGAACCGGGCTCTACAGGGGGCAGAACTTTCGAGCCGAAAATTCTTCTTCTCGGAGCCTTCTGGCGCTCCGGGAGTTGCCTCTTAGCACTTGGGAAGTACTAGGGCTTGGGAGGGGTTTAGAGAGAGAGAGAGAGAGAGAGAGAGAGAGAGAGAGAGAAGGGTTGAGGTGTGAGGAAAAGGGTGAGCTTCGCATGGTATTTATAGGCTGAAAAATGGCTCAACTCGGCGAGTTTGAGCCGCCAACTCGTCGAGTTGAGTGCCAAGTGTCACCATCTGGTGTCAAGGCGTGGGGAGGAAGCAATGGTCCATATTAAGCCACGCCACCCCCTTCGCAGCAGCACCCTTCCGTCTTCTAAATTCTGTAACTTTCGCATACAAGCTTCGTTTTCAATGTTCTTTATATCCACGCGTAGGTGGCGACGTACTCTACAACTTTCCTTTTGACCCCATCGGCTAATTCTAGACCGATTTTAAATTTAACAGTATAAGAAGATTACATTGTTAACGACCATGTAGAATTCATAACTTCTACATACAGACTCCATTTTCTACTATCTTTTTATCATTGCAATCCTATTAATGAGATCTTCAATTCTCATTTAGGTTGTGTCGGCTAACAATCGATCGATCTAAAATTCGAATTCCGGATTATGCACTGCTATGCTAAATCTTAGAAAAATCATAACTTCCTCATACGAAGTTAGATTTGGACGTTCTTTTTATGCACGCTTTCGGTTTAACTCATACTACGACTTTCGTTTAAATCGCTAAGGCTAAAAAGTATTTTATCGCAAACTTACTTTTTACGATTCCCGGTGTCGTGCCGGTTTTGACGTAAAACTTCGGCAGATCAAAACTTATTCGTTATAGCTCGAATTTCAGCGTTCTTTATATGTACGTAACCTTGTGACATGTACTATAACTTGGTTAAGATTATTTATTCTAAATAATCTAATATCAAAAATTCATTTTTAACGCTTATTATCTCTAAATTGACTAGCCTGAATCTGCGGGCGTTACATGAGTTATGTCATCTAGGAATGTATACGAGGGGGGCTCCAAAGGAGTGACGGATTTGAAAAAAAAATAGTTTCATCAAAGATAACATGGCGAGATATTATTATTTTGCGAGATGATAGATCAAGACACCGATAACCGTGATGATTAAATGGATATCCTAAGAGTACACATGGGGAAGAGAGTGGGGCTAGTTTATGGGGAGTTATGATGTGAGGGTAGCATAGGCAACCAAAGACTCTTAGGTTTGCATATGGTGGTGAGGTTAGAAAAAGGCGGAAGTGTGGGGTTTCATTCTGGATAGTTGTTGAGGGAAGGATATTGAGAAGGTGAGTGACCATGTGAAGGGCTTCAACCCAATAAGTGGGTTGCATGTGGGCTTGGAAAAGGAGTGATCGAATGAAGTTATTGATGGTTCTAAGCATGCACTCAGATTTGCCATTTTGTTGAGAGGCGTGAGGACATAAAAAACGAAATTGTATGCCATGAGTGGCAAAGTGGTCAAGAAATTGTTTGTTATTGTATTAACCCCTATTGTCACATTGAAAAGCTTTCATATTTGTCTTACAGCTTACTATACTGTCTGTCTATATACAATCTATATCTTTGTTCAGGGAAAATACCAAAAAAACCCATTATGCCATTAAAATCACTATATTTTCGGATTTTGGTTAAACTAATGCTTCAAAATTGGTTGCATATCCTACATGGAATTAAAAAAGCTTACATTGCATTTTAATTTCCAGAAACTGTGTGATTAATTGCTATAGATGTAATCATTTCAACCCCATGTAGGCAATAGGCTATGCAACCGTTTTTCTTTTTGCATTATCCATTAATTTAACCAAAACCAGAAAATATAATGGTTTTAATGATGTGGAAATAACATGATGGTTTTTTTAGCATTGGGGGACAATATGTTGATTTTTTTCCTTATAAATGATGTATTTATGTCATTATTCGTTATTTTTTGTAATTGAAATTGGAGAATATGGTGCTTGTTATTATTAGGTTAGGGAATTTGTGATCGCAGTCAAAGAAGAAGATGAGATGGTAGATTATGGTGAACAAATGAAAGCTCCAAAGGTACTTGCTGATATTCTTGAATCAGTTGCTGGAGCTGTTTATGAAGATTGTGGGTTCAATTTGCAAAATCTGTGGGTGGTGAGTGGTTGTGAATTGAGATCCTATACATCTCTTCAAATTCGATTAGATTACAAACTTTTGCCTAACTAGATATTGGATCGAGAGAAGCTGATTCCTCTAACCTATGGGGATGTTTCTTTTTGACTTAATGGGCTTAATGGGTTAAGCACTTAATCTGGACAGTTATACATGGTTGCTTCTTTTTTACTTAATCTGGACGGATGACCTAATGGGTTAAGCCAAAAAAACTTGGCTTAATGTTTTAAGACACTAACCCGTTACCTATTTGCCCTCTTTTTCCTCCCAATTTCTCTCACGTTAAACCTGATGAATATTATGAAATTTGATTTTTGGAATGTAAGGGTAAAATGATCATTTAATCTCATTCAGACGGTTTATTCAGTCTAGAAAAGAAACAAAACTTATCCAGGCAAACATCATTACTCATTCAGCCACTTTACCCATACTAGTCTTAATGTGGAAAGTACAGATACATGTGTTGACTATGATCAATTGCTTTGACTTTCTGCTTTCAGGTGATTAGAGAGCTACTTGAACCGATGATTATGCTAAATGTTTTAGAGAAACAGTCGCAACCTATTACCATGGTATATGAGGCATGCGAAAAAGAGGGGAAAATTGTTGACACCAAGAAGGGGAGGAAAGGTTAGAGCTTCTCTAACAAATACCAACTTCTTTCCCAATACAACTACTATTATATGCATTTGCATCCTTGAAAAGAGATGCAAATAGTAATATACCATATCTAATATATTTGCAAGCATTTATGTTGATGGAAGATTTATTGCTTCTGGCTCTTCAGGGAAAAAAGAGAATGTCAAACTTCATGCAGCTGAGGTTGCTTTATCTAACTTAACAAGGCTAAAAAGCACTGATGCAATAAGTCTACACATGGATGTTGATTGTGGTGAAGCCACTGAGATTAAAGGTGCTAAACTAAAAATACATGAACTTTGTAACAGGAGAAAGTGGCCAAAAGGGACTTACAGGTATGTAAATATTTTGCCTTTATTACTACTTTGATCATGTTGTATATTTAATTAAAATGGAAACCAAATAAATCACAAAATCTGTTTAATCTTAATGTTTTTTTTTTCTTGCAGAATTGAGCAAGAATTGGGTCCTGCACACGATAGAAGATACATAGCATCCGTGCAAATTGAACTTTCTGATAAGATATTTTTCATGAAGGCAGAAGAGAGGTCAAAAGTTAAGGATGCCGAAAATTCTGCCGCCTCAATTATGTTTTCTTCTTTGCGAGATTTAGGATATTAATGAATGTTGGAAAACAGACAACTAACATATATAGATGTCTAGAAAGATATGTATATCTCTAAACAAACAACTCAGATTTGTATCTAATATTTGCCTCATTTGATCATTAAAAGAGTTAGCAAGTAAATAGTGAGTTTATTTGATAACAGGTCTTAGCCTTTTTTATCATTAGTTTATATATGTAACTATAAAACCGGTTTTTAGGCTATCGGAGTTCGGTTAAATCCGGACCAGTTTTTATCAGATTTTTGCATGAGATATGGATTTCAAGTATAACCATTTATGGATTTCGATAATCTGGGTTTTTAATACTTCGTCGGATTAACCTACATAAAATACTCCTAAGTCGTAAAAAAGCTTTATAAAAACATTCGTTGTAAAAAATAGTTAAAGATTCTGATTTAGATGATCCGGTTTTTTAAAAGTCGATTTCGGATAAACGAACAAAACGTCAAAAAGTTAAAAATATTCCTAAGTTATAAAAAAGCTTTACAAAAAAACATAATTAACTTGTAAAAAAAAAGTTATGGCTTCGGATGATCCGATTTTTTTAAAAGCCGGTTTCATATAAACGAACAAAATGTCAAAAAATAACAAACAAAATGTTAAAAGATTTAAAAAAAATAAACGAACAAAACATCAACAAAAAACAAATAAAAATAATGTATACAAGTGATTTTACTTTACTATTTTATAATCAGTATTCTTGCAACTAGTTTCAAACTATGGTTTAACCCTAAACAAGCATATAACTACAATCAAAAGGAGCAAGACCCACATCCAAACAAACCCTAATCATTATAAGAAAATTCATGCAACATTACTACAAAAACCTCTCTTTTGGTTTCTATTTAGGGAGGAATTGCTAGCTTATGTAATAAACTATGCAAGTGTAGAAGGAATTAGCTGGAATATTGAAGGACTATGTTAGTAGGAAAAGCTTTATGAGATATGTGTGAAGTGGGCCCCTATTTTTTTATTTTAAATTCTGAAAAATATAAAGAGTTTTAAAATATTTAAAAAATGTTATAAAATATCATTAAGGGCAACATAGTATTTTTCGACCGGTTTTCTTTTTCAAAAGTCTTTTTTTTCAATATGTTAGGGAGGAACAGCCCAGAAGGACCATTTCAATAAATTTGACAAACAACATGGACCATTTCAGGAATTTGTTCTAAACTTTTAGGCAGTAGAAGGTTGGAGAAGAGGTTTCTTGCATCTGATTGGTGAGGCTAAGGCGGTGGAAAATAAAGGTGAGGCAAGGCGGTGGAATATAATAACGAGAAAACCATGGCAACTGCATGAAAAATTAATAAGGGTGTGGCCAATGTGAATTCCCAAACTTTCCTGTTCACCGCTGCATGAGAATTAATATGTATATAATGTCAACCCACATCTTATAAATGAGAAAAAAAAACGTTGTGATGACAAATCCTAGTTGACGCTACCGGCAAGTGTGTGGCACACTCTACCGCCGCCGTTCTCATTGACTCTGATCGTATGGCGTTCTCATTGACAACCCTAGCTCACATAACTGCCGCCCCACCAACTCTGCTTATCCACCAATTTTTAATCCCTATCCTTCACAACTATCCCCTCAATTGATGAGATTTGGGTTCCGCTCGTCGTTTGCGTTTTCTTGTGTTCTCTCGAAACAATCAACGGGGCAAGTGGTGTCAGCTCTCCAGCAGCCCGATTCATTCGCCTGTTTTGGTAACTATGGTGGGAAGTATGTCCCGCAAAACCTATTGTTCGCGCTCTCCGAGCTTGAATCCGCTTTCAAAGCTCTCCCTACCGACCATGAGTTCCAGGTTTCATGCGTTGATCGTTATAGAAAAGTCCTCTTTTTTATGTTAATGTTCATGATTTTACCAAACCGTATCAGTTAGTTGAAACAATGCTCCAATTTTACAGTAGCGCTTGCTTGTTGATATGTTAAGGGGTATCTCCAAAGACGCTCTTAACTCTAAGTGTAAATGGTTAAATGTCGCTTCATTTTTTGCATTTCATGCAATAAAATGGTTTTATATGAATATGCAACTTTGTAACCTGGGTATGTCATGGCATTCTATCCATTAAATGCTTATTTATGCAATGTTTTTTCATTTTTTAGGCAAGACGGAATCGTGGAAAAAGATAAAGACGGTACCGGCGGTACCGCCCAGAAACAATAACTCAACATTGGTTTCGCCGGGTTCCGCCGGGTTCAGTGGCTTCACATTTGAAAAATGGGTTGGTGAACTCGTTGGTAAATTTAGAAAGTAGGAATCAATGTTTTGTTTTTTTGTAGCAGCTTTCCAAAAGATTCCCTGCAAGAGAAGTAATGCATGTGACTAAAGTTAATGCATATAGCTGTCACTCTTAAATTGCATTTTAGCTTTGACTTTGACTATATTCTTTGACTACATTGATACGGGTTCTTTTTTTTTTTAACTTTTTTATTTTACAAGTTTATTTACTCTATGGTTTTGTAGTATTTTGCCATATTATATATAGATGAATAAATAATTCATTCATTTGTAGTGTTTTTACTCTGGAAAATTTTATGTTTCATTTGATTCATTTAGTTACATTCAATGGATTCCCGAGGCAAAGCTAAACAAACCAGTTCTAGTCAAAAACACAAATCCACACAAGGCGGTTCAAGTCAAGATATTCCATTTTCTTTTCAAGATTTTCAAAATCCAAACTATCAACAATACCAAAACTACCAAAGCTACCAAAACTACCAACAAAACCAAAACTATCCACAACAATATTTCCCGGTGCAACAATCTTACAACACATTTAGACTTCCAGAGGAAAATCAGAGTTAGGGAGGAGGGAGTCGTTCCATCCCAACCCACCGAACCCACTGTCACATCACATTTTCTCTTTTATTTTTTTTTCATTTTTCCGAACCCACAACACTCGGAAATCCTATCTTTTTGAACCCACTCAACCCATTCAATTAAAAAAAATACAAAACAACTAATGTACAAGTTTTAAAGCACATGGTACAGAGAAAATAAGAAAGAGAAAGTAGAGAGAGATGATGAAGTGGGTTGGTGAAACCAATCAACCCACTCGTTGAAGCAGGAGTGGTACCGCCGATAACTCTATTGCTAATTAAGATTTTACATTTGATTGTTTTGTATTTTTTTTTAATTGAGTGGGTTCAAAAAGATATGATTTCCTTGTGTTGTGGGTTCGGAAATATGAAGAAAAACAAAAGAGAAAAAGTGATGTGGCAGTGGGTTCAGTGGGTTGGGAGGGAATGACTCCCTCCTCCCTTATAATCCATGGAATCAGTTTTCTCAAAGGGTTCCAGAAACCCAATTCCAATCTTCTCAACCCGAGAATTTCCAGTTCCGTGATGCTCAGAATGAAGAATCTGACAGTGCTAGTGACGACCCAGCTCCCGAAAGAATCGAAGAAGAAACCAGCGAGGAGTTGCAACCCGTTGCTGAGAAAAAACGCAACTATACACTCCGCCAGAAGCGAAAGAACTGGGTGGAACGCGAAGAGTTGGCTTTGGCTAGGGCATATGTCGATGTTTCTAAAGATAAACAACGCGGAAATCAACAAAGGTTCGATGCATTTTGGGAGAGGGTTCTAGAGCATTTCAGTGTTCAAATGGGAGGTTCAGATCGGTCACGACACCAAGTAAACTCAAAATGGAAAGACCTCCAAAACAAATGTAATGCTTTCAACGGCATCTATAACCGTAAGATGAACAGTGTGGCTAGCGGGAGATCTGAGGCTGATGTTTTACAATCTTCACTAAGCGAGTATCGGAGGACTATTAACCAGAAATGTTTTCCTCATCAACAAGCTTGGGAGTGGTTGAAAGACAACGCGAAATGGGCATTTGTTACAAAAGTGGGCGAAGACTCCCCGCCTCCTTCTTCAAAACGAACCAAAACATCTTCATCCAACGCCTACACATCATCATCTGATCCACAATATCCTCCTGGATTCTCCCCCCAACAACAACAGTTGTTTAGTGTTGAAGACTCACCGCCTCAGAGAAAAAGAAAAGGAAAGAAAGCGGCATCAACATCATCAACAGAAAATGAAATGTTTGATCTCGTCAAACAAATTGCCGGCATCAAGACTGCAACCGAAACAGAGGCAGAACAGAGACAACGGTACCGGGAACAAAAATTGCGCATTCTCGAAGCTAATGAAGAACGAAAAGCTCAATTGTTGGATCGCGAGATAGAGAACCAAGATATGGAGTATTTTCTCCGGCCGCATGATCATTTGACTGGAGGTATTTTGCGCACGGTGCTTGAAAGGAAACGACAAATTGCAACTAAGTATGGTTGGGAGTTACAGAACCCGTGAAGTTCAAAATGTCGACATCATTTGACTGGAGAATCTTTCTCTTTATTATTATTTTTTTTATTTTTATTTTTATTTTATTTTCATGTTCATTTTTATTTTATTTTTATTTTTATTTTTATTTTTATTAAGATTCTCTATATGTATCCTTGTTTCATTATCTATATATAGCTATGCTTGTTTCATTATCTATATATATATATATATATATATATATATATATATATATATATATATATATATATATATATATATATATGCATGTTTGTTTCATTTTCTCTCTAACTTTTCTCTTCTTTCAAAATGAATCCAAACATTTGGAAAATAGTAATGGAAGTTAACGATGACGGTTCATCATCTGATGATGAACTTATCAACAATAATTTGTTACCTGTATTGTCTCGTACTGCACAACTGCTTCTTCAGAATAATGCTAGTTCAAGCAACATTCAAAGGAGAAACACAATCGTTTAGAGGCTGAACGACTGCTGATCCGACATTATTTTGCAGATGATTCAACCTATGGTCACGCGCAATTCCGCAGAAGGTTTCGTATGAGCAAAGGTTTGTTTATGCGACTTGTTGGTGACCTGGAGACGAATTATCCTTATTTTCAAACAACATGGGATGCAACAAATCAAAGAAGTTTCAGTGCGCTACAAAAATGCACATCAGCAATACATCAATTAGCGAAGGGTTATAACCCAGACTCGTTAGATGAGTATCTAAATCTGTCAGAAAGAACTTCTCGTGAATCTCTTGAAAACTTTTGCTACGGTGTTGTCCAAATGTATAAGGCTGAATATTTACGCCGTCCAACATCCACTGACATTCAACTTTTGTATGAAACACATGAAGCTAGACATGGATTCCCTGGAATGCTTGGTAGCATTGATTGCACACATTGGAATTGGAGGAATTGTCCAACGGAATTGAGAGGCCAATATATGAGGGGTGACCATCAGTATCCATCAATGATACTAGAAGCGGTGACGTCACAAGATTTATGGTTTTGGCATGCATTCTATGGTGTAGCCGGGTCTAACAATGATTTAAACGTCCTCTACCAATCACCATTGTTTGATGAGAAATATCATGGAACAGGACCCGATTGTTCATTTTATCTGAATGGTGAACACTACAAACATGGTTACTATCTTGCGGATGGAATATATCCATCATGGGCTGTATTTGTGAAGGCATATCCATATCCAGTTACCGACAAAAAGATACGGTTCAAGGCGGCACAAGAATCAGCAAGAAAGGATGTAGAACGTGCTTTTGGGGTCCTTAAAGGACGTTGGGACATATTAAAGATGCCTGCACGAGCTATGACGGTGAAGAAAACAAAAAATATAATGTACGCTTGCATTATACTACACAATATGATATTGAAAGATGAGGGTGCTGCGATATGTCCTGTGTATCAGCCCGATCCCCCTGTTGGGGTTGGAAAACTCTTCTATTAAACACGAAAATAGAATTACAATAGGAGGAGCAACTCTCACACTCAACTATTACAAAAAACCAACCCTCTCACTAACACTCTCACTCTAAGTGTTATACTATCTGTTTCTCTGTGTTTTTGGGATGCATACAACTGAAGAATGAAGTCTCTATTTATAGTCTTGGCAGCCACCATTGTAGTTGCGTCTATTAATTGTGTTCATCATAGGGTGGGAAGAAAAACTTGTCCCGTAGGTTTCATTTTGTCAACAATGATGGCTACTGTAGCTTTGGAGGCTTTAGAGGCTGGAACACAACAAATCTCCCCCTCCAGTCTCTGTCCAACAATCCTCATCCCAACTATGTCAGCACATAGTCTGTGTTTCTCTTGTGTCACCACCTTTGTCAACATGTCTGCAGGATTGTTATTGGTGTTGATCTTTAACAACTTCAATTCTCGTCCCTCAATTGCTTCTCTAAGCCAGTGATAACGTATATCAATATGTTTTGTACGGGAATGGTACATCGAGTTCTTACTCAGGTCCATAGCACTCTGACTATCGCAATGAATGATGTACTCTTCTTGTGGAAAGCCTAATTCTTGAAGAAACCTTTCATCCATATAAGCTCCTTCCCAGCTTCAACGGCAGCAATATACTCGGCTTCTGTTGTTGACAGTGCGACACACTTCTGTAACTTGGATTGCCACGAGATAGCTCCCCCTGCCAAAGTAAAAATGTAACTTGATGTAGATTTCCTACTATCAAGATCTCCTGCCATATCGGCATCTGTATAACCTTCCACGATTGGCTTTGCTCCCCCGTAGCATAAACATAGTTTCGAACTACCCTTCAGGTATCGAAGTATCCATTTGACTGCTTCCCAATGTTGTTTTCCCGGATTAGCTAGATATCTACTCATAACACCGACAGCATGAGCAATATCTGGTCTTGTACACACCATTGCATACATAAGACTTCCTACGGCTGAGGAATAGGGGACTGCCTTCATCTCTTCTTTTTCTTTCTCAGAAGATGGACAATTTTTCTTACTCAACTTGAAGTGGTTAGCCAAGGGCGTACCAACGGGCTTGGCATTTTCCATGTTGAACCTTTTTATCACACGTTCAACATACTCTTCCTGTGATAAGAACAATTTTCTTGATTTTCTATCACGGATAATTTTCATGCCCAATATCTGTTGTGCTTGGCCTAAGTCTTTCATATCAAAGAACTTAGACAAATCCTTCTTCAAGTTGTTGATCATCATTGCATCTTGGCCCACTATCAACATATCATCCACGTAGAGCAAAAGGATGACAAATTTCCCATCTGGAAACTTCTTCAGATAGACACAATGGTCTGCAACAGTTCTCTTGTACTCATGATTCATCATAAATGAATCAAACTTCTTGTACCACTGCCTTGGGGCTTGCTTAAGACCATAAAGGCTCTTCTTTAATTTACAGACGAGATGCTCTTTCTTTGGGACTTTAAAGCCATCAGGTTGCTCCATGTATATTTCTTCATCCAAATCACCATGGAGAAAGGCTGTTTTCACATCCATCTGCTCAAGTTCAAGATCTAGACTGGCAACTAATCCGAGTACAACTCGGATAGACATCATCTTCACAACTGGCGAAAAAATTTCATCAAAGTCGATTCCTTCTTTTTGTTGGAAACATTTGACAACGAGTCTCGCCTTATACTTCATAGTATTTCCCTTGCCGTCTTTCTTCAACTTGAAAACCCACTTGTTTTTCAAGGCTTTCTTTCCTTTGGGGAGGTTTACCAACTCATATGTTTGATTCTTCTGCAAAGAATTCATTTCTTCTTCCATGGCCTTCTGCCAATTTGCTTTGTCAATATGAGATTGAGCTTCTTGAAAGCTCTCTGGCTCCCCCTCACTAGTAAGAAGGATGTAGTTTGAAGTCGGATATCTTCTTGATGGAGCACGGACTCGTTCGGATCGTCGAAATTGAGTTCCTTCATTTGCAACTTCTGGCAGTGGATCTAAATTATCCAGGGGTGGAAGCTCCCCCTCATCAACACCTTCTTGATATGCATCATCGACTTCTTCATCCACTTCTTCAGCGGAAACATCTTCTTTATTTTCATATATTATATCTGAAACTTTGGAGCTTTGTTGCTTGTTAACCGGTGCCTTGAAATCATAATACTGGTTTTCATAGAAAACCACATCTCTACTTCGAATAACCTTCTTTAGTTCTGGGTCCCATAGCCTGTACCCGAACTCTTCATCTCCATATCCAATAAAGATGCATGGAGTGGATTTGAGGTCCAACTTCTTCCGCAGTTCACTTGATACATGTGCAAACGCCTTGCACCCAAATACTCTCAAGTGAGAATATGATATGTCTTTACCCGTCCATATCTTCTCCGGAACTTCAAAATTCAATGGAGCGGAAGGTGACCTATTTATTAGATAGCAAGATGTCAATACAGCTTCACCCCAGAATGGCTTTGGGAGTTTAGTCATGCTGAGCATGCATCGAACTTTCTCAACAATGGTGCGATTCATCCGTTCTGCTACACCATTGTGTTGTGGGGTTCGTGGGACAGTCTTTTCATGTCTGATACCATGTTCCGTGCAGTATTTAGAGAACTCACGGGAATAATATTCGCCTCCATTATCTGATCGGAGACATTTTAGCTTCTTGCATGTTTGTCTTTCCACAATTGCATGAAAAGCTTTGAAGCGGTCCAATACTTGGTCCTTCGTTCTCAAACAGTATGCCCATACTTTTCGTGACGCGTCGTCAATGAATGTCACAAAATACCGGCTTCCACCAAGAGATTCTACTTCAATGGGTCCACATACGTCGGAGTGGACAAGGCTCAGCAACTCAGAGCGGTTCTTTCTTGTGGAGCTAAAGGAAACTCTGTGTTGTTTCCCGAATAGGCAGTATTTACAAGGATCCAAGGCAACATCTTTTGCCATTGAAATGGACTCCTTCTTTGCAAGAGTCGTCAATCCCTTCTCGCTCATGTGGCCTAGTCTTCTATGCCACAAGTTTGGTGATGTCTCTTCTTTAACAACATTGAGACTTGGTTGAAGCAACTTTGCATGACTTTTATAAAGAGTACCATCAAGTTTTCCCCTTACAACAACCATAACACCTTTCAACAACTTCCAGGTGCCATTTTTGAATTGATTATCATATCCTTGGATGTCAAGAGCTCCAACTGAGATAAGATTCATTCTCAGCTCTGGGACATGCCGAACATCTTTCAACACCAATGTACATCCAACATTGGTCTTTAAATGCACATCACCAATACCAGCAATGCTTGAGAAACTGGTGTTTCCCATCTTCACGGTACCATGGTCTCCGGGTTTATAAGTACTGAATAAATCTCGGTTTGGAGTCGAATGATATGATGCAGCGCTATCAATCACCCACTCATCATCATGAGTTTCAACATGTAGGCATGCTTCCTCCTCGTATGTAACAAGGGCAACGTCTTGTGTTATGGTGACCATGGTTTCACCATTCTCCCTGCTTGGATTCTGGCTTGTCTCGGGCTGCTCTCGTA